TGCAATTTATGCTACTAGATTATTAAGATATATCCTTACTAATCCAATGAGCATTGTCAACTGAAATCAAATACTAATTACATTAATATTTATGTATTTCTGTTCATTGTTGACTTCAGGAGGACTTATACGCAAGTGCAATCATTAGCAATCATGTTTTCACATTCAGCTGTTATTTATTTTTGTGTCTTCAAATGTGAAGCAATAGAATTTAGTCGCCACAAGATATTTTCAAGGGAGTCATTTAGCTACCTTTGAATTTTAGAGAGTAGACAAATTGAAATTTAGGTCGAGTTGGCGGCTGTTTTAGTCGCAACTTTGAGGCCTGAGTTAACACTATATATATCAGAACCAAGTTTTAGAATTTTTGTCTTAATAACTACCATGATTTGTAAAACATTTGATCAGGGAGCAGTATAACATTGTCTTTTATTTGAACAGTATCATAGCAAACCTGAAAAAATGATTCGTAAAATATTTGATAATATCAGCTTTAGCTTGGCCAGGCAGGTGCAAAAGCATTGTTAGTGTCAATTATCAAGGGAGTGATGCGGGCAAAAGAACCCTCATGTAATTCTACACAAGATCCATCAATAATTAGCACACCTCCTCTTTGTCAGGGTCTTTTGGGTTGATGACATTTAATGCCATTGGAGCAGTGTTGTTTTTTCGAATCTTGGCCGTCTGCTTGTAGTGAAACCTATTGAGATTGTTGGGAGATTTGGCCTATGTGACTGGTGAAAGTAAGTGAGTGATATTGTTTACAATTTTTGGCCGTCTGAGGGATACTTATTGAGATTGTTTGGAGATTTGGTCTATGTGACTGGTGAAAGTAAGTGAGTGATATTGTTTACAATTTTTGGCCGTCTGAGGGATACTTATTGAGATTGTTTGGAGATTTGGTCTATGTGACTGGTGAAAGTAAGTGAGTGATATTGTTTACAATTTTTGGCCGTCTGAGGCAAACCTATTGAGAAGTTCAATAGTTTGGTCTTTGTGACTGGTGAGACTGTGAGAGTCATTTTTTGTTCGAATCTTGGCCGTCTGCTTGGAGTGAAAGCGAGAGATTGTTGGGAGATTTGGACCGTGCTACTGGGGAAAGTGAGTGAACGAGGGAGACCATGAGTGGGGCTAACACAACAGGATGCTGTAGAGATGGGGATTGGATGGCTAGTGTGGCTGAGTTGGCGGGCACCTGGTGTCATCATTGACTGTCAGTGATCCATACGTATATTTTCACCACTATTTTGCCTTTTACACCCAAAATGAAATCTGTTTGGGCAGATAATGAAGACTGATTATTTTCTGGTGGTGATGTGTCATATAATTGCATTGAACATTAGTTGTGATGGATCTAAACTATTATTTCTAGGAATCAAGAACATCTGAGTATTTCAGTAAACCAAGAAAGTTTTTTTCCTGACTTTATACTTTTCTGTATTCCACAATTTTGTTAGGTACCGTGTGTCAGAAGAGGTTGTTTGCATACTTGGTAGTCACTCATTGAACAGAACTATTAACATGTACTCTCTCTTAAATCCATCTGTGATGGGGTAGCCTAGTGGTAAAAGCGGTCACCCGTCAGGCCGAAGACCCGGGTTTGATTCCCACATGGGTACAATGTGTGAAGCCAGTTTGTGGTGTGCCCCGCAGTGATATTGCTGGAATATTGCTAAAAGTGACATAAAACCATACTCACTCACTCTTAGAACCAAACTGGCTAGTATTAACAAACTTTCTCCTATTTTCTGTGCAGCTATCACGATTCAACTGACCAACTGTTCGTAAAATCTTAATTTTGGATACTTAGTCTACTTGTGTCTTGGCATTTATGAATATACCGGTAAATCTATTTCTACAATTTCCCCTTTTGTCTGTGGTAGATGGTAAAAGGGTCAACTAGGACTGGAAACTGGACTTACTTCTGGAACAAAATGAAAAGTCATTTATGGTGTTGTCATTAAGAAATATATTGGGATATGGGGATGTACATAACTTTGTTTTGCTCTGCTTATTTACCATTATGCATATAAATTAATATTGAATATATTGGCAGAAAAATGACAGAATTAGAGCATAACTGATTAATTCTGGAAACAGCATAAATTTTTGTATCATCAATAACTGCAAAAAAAGCATATGCACAGTTATGTACATATAAATTTGTGGAGTCTGTAGACAAACTGCATCATGAAATATGTAGTAATTTCTATTGTTTTGTTTGCCAAACACTACTTGAACGAGGACCCTGAAGGGAGCCAGGTTGGACAAGGTTCCCAGCACTTCATTACATGTTGTAAGGAGTGACGAGTTTGAAGTGAGTTCGGGCTCTGTGATGTGGTTCATTGTGTGCCGTCATACCCTGAGAGTACGATGGTGATACATGGATGTATCTGGGCCTGCTCAGGGGCGGTGGGGTAGCCCAGTGGTTAAAGTGTTCGCTTGTCACGCCGAATACCTGGGTTCGATTTCCCACATAGGTGCAATGTGTGATGCCTATTTCTGGTGTTCCCGCTGTGATATTGCTGGAACATTGCTACAAGCGGCATGAAACCATACACACTCACTCCACGTGGGTTGGGGGCGGTGGGGTAGCCTAGTGATTAAAGTGTTCGCTTGTCACGCCGAATACCCCAGGTTTGATTTCCCACATGGGGTTCAATGTGTGAAGCCTATTTCTGGTGTTCCTGCCGTGATATTTTCTGGAATATTGCTAAAAGCGGCATAAAATAATACTCACTAAGTGACTAGACCTGCTCAGCGAAAGTCTGCAGCAAATGTCAGTAAAACATTTCCAAATTAGAATTAAACGTTTCCCAAGTCATGCTATTATTGTTAAAACTAATGATAGCTTTGGTAGAGGTTGCTTGTGTTTCACTGAGAACAGGACCAATATATAGGATAGGACTTTTTTGCCTAGTTTAACATCACTGCATTCAATGCAATGTTCAAATTCAATGTTAAAATAGACCTGTGAAGATCTGGGGTAGAAAAGGTCTTCAGCAACCCATGCTTGTCGTAAGAGGCGACTGACGGTTTCGGGTGGTCAGGCTCGCTGACTTGGTTGATGCATGCCATCGTATCCCAATTGTGAACAGCAAGCGTTTGAAGGTTCATGTGCATCCCATGTTCAGTAGAGTTCTGCAGGAGTATAATATGCTGTTTTACCAAAATGTTAAGACATCCACATCACCTTGAGTCTCTTTATGTCCTGGTGTGTCAGCTTGAAATTGAAGGAAAGCCCAATATAATGCAGGTTCTGTACGTTTCCACTTTGGTGAAACCCACAGGTGTGAGCTCACAAATCTAGAAACATCAGATTGAATCTGATCATCGGATTCTGGCATGTCTAAGGGATGCAACTCTGCATGGAGAATTGTTTGTCGAATTAGACACCCGTATCCCAGCATAGAAAGATTTTTGGTCAGTGACGTGATGGCATTCTGTTGGGATTGTACATCTGGGTCAGAATAGGCGACTTACAGGGTCGGGTGGTCAGGCTCTCTGACCTGGTTGATGTCATCGTATTCCTTAGATCGAAGCTCATGATATCAATCACTGAATTATCTGGTCCAGATTATTTACAGACCACCGTCATATAACTGGAATATTGCTGAATGTGGCATAAACAACAAACAAATAAAATGTTGGGATTGTGTTTCCTCACCAATGACAGGCTGTGATATTAGTCTTCGGTACAGGTCAGATCCTGTTGTATATCACTGTATAAGTACAGGAGAAATGGCATTTCCTTTTCTAAATATATATACTGGGTTAGAGCTCAATTATGGAAACTGTCACCAGACTCTCGTAGACCTTGTGTGTAAATAGTGAAGAATTTATAACAGATGATTCCGAAATAGCATGCCTGATTCCAGAATTGTGCTTATTTATACCGAAACGGAAATAGTGGAACCATATACATTCTGAAATGGTGTTATCACATACCCTGAAATAGCTTTGATTTTCCTTAAATGTCAGGATAAGTTTGCTAGTCCCGACATATATGTATTTGTTCCTAAATTCATCCACTGCTGGACATGAGCTACAGACTTGTAAAACTTCTAGGGTAAACCTGTATGTTATACTGCAGAGTTTCAATCACAGGACACCAGGTGTTAAGAAATGGCAATGCTGTCATTTTTGTGTCACTTTATGTATATAGTACATTGATGTTCAATTTATGAATTTTCAAAATGTCTTTGATAATTGATTGAGGTATATCTGTGCTGGTACATGGATATGATCGGGACCTGACTCTGTTAATAGAGCTGTAACATATACATTGGGATAAGATATGTATCTTGAAAGTAAGGTCGTGACAAGTATGTGATACGATCTGTAAACCTGATGTTAAAATTGATACCTCATTGTAAGGGGATGAATTCCTGCAAAGGGGATATTAGAGGCCCACCACAAATATGTCAATATTAATGGCAGTAGTTCATTTTCATGCCATGTCACAAGTACATATCTTTGTATGGATACATCACATGACAGTATACTCATAGAAAAAAGTATCGCAACACAAACTTTTCGTCAATCGCTACTTACTTTTCTATTTATGAAACCAAAAATGAATGAAGCTCTTGTTAAAAACAAGTATATTTTAAACAAGAAATATGCAGTGTTCCTTTATCACAGACATTCATAGAATCAATACCATTTTATAAAATAGAGCTTTAAAAATATTACTTAAGCGATGTCAATTAATACTAACTTAGATTTAATGCTCCTTAAGTGATTCTAATGCATGGATATAAGCTGTGCCACTTGTCTCAACCATATGCAAGGAAATATCCTAAACTGTCCTGGATCAGTGGTGTATAAATATGATATATCCTCCACACTGACTACATTTTGACACATTTAAACTGAATGTGTATGCATGGCCTTCCGAGATGTTCTTAGTGGCTTTAATCCTCCATTGATATGAATATTGATATTAGACATCAGTGTTATACAGTGTTCTACATTCCCATTGTCTCCATCTGTTGCAGAGGCCAGTTGAAGTGGGGCAGGATGCACTCAACAACAACTACTGGTACTTCGATGGTAAGTTCAGCATTCCTTTAAAGTTTTATATACAGGGCATGTGTGTCTCTATTACAGGTGGCATGTGGAACCAGAGGTGCATGTACTCTGATTGCAGTCCTCTTCTGTTTCATGGTATTGAACAGTTTGAAAAACAAACTGATAAGCAGAGATGTCAAGGTCGTATTTTGAATTCTGAGATTAATGGCTGACATGGAATAGTGTTGGTATTTGTTTTTCCTTTTATGGTCATTGTTCATGGATATTCAAATGTGTGAATGGCCATTGTAAATAGCTATTCAGACATGTTAATTATTTGCATGGGATGATTTGTGTATAGACTACTGATGTTGTGTATCAAATTTTCAAAAGCTGATAGGACTTCGATAACATGGCGTACAATTTCTTCTTTGTTGCTGCTAGAGGTATGGGGTCTGTTTCATAAAGCGATATCGAGAGTTTTTTCAGAGGTTCCAAGGCCACAGGCCCATAGTCATACAAAGTCATGATATTTGGCATATCAATGAATATATACATATAACTTAATAAACATTTGAGTTTCATAGAATGATATATATATATGGAGACAATTGATTAATTGAAAGTTTACGATTTGAAGACATAAGGTTTACAAAATTGCTAGATGGATTGTAAAATGATGGGTATCAAGATGGCGAGTTTGTAATTCTGAATATTGTTGGCGTACTAACAAGAAATGGTATTCATTTTCGACGTGGTCCAATCCAAAATTTACACAGTATTTACATAAACGTTCTTCTGTGTTTTCCTGTCTCCATTCTGACTGATGATAACCACAACAGAAACAAGTTACAGATATCATGTAAGGTTTACAGTACATGTACTTTCAGTTTAGATGAAAGAAATATATTGTTGTGTCATTCTTGAAAGTCACAGTGATGATAGCCCTACGACCACAGTAAGGCAATGTTTAGATGGTAGTTATGATACTTGTATTGCTACTATCACTTTGTCAGACAGGAACCTGGGTGACCCAATGAACTAAGGTGCTACAAGTCGCTCTGCAGAGTTGCCTCCCCTGTTTGTGCCAGGATTTGCTCATCATGTATTTGAATACTGGATGAGCCCCAATTATGATCCTTGGTCTGTCTGCACCATTCCTGATTTTCACCTTTAATTTAGTTCTGTTTGTTGTTGATACATGCATGCTGTTTCTCCCTCTGGATGGAGGGGCCCCAGTAAGTCACTGCACCATACACACATTTCAAGTCGGTGTGTATTGTAGGTTCATGGGACACATTGGTGCGTTCTTACTGAAGCTGATGGCATTGGAACCATTGCATGTTATAGATAGAACTTGTTTATCATATTCTTTCAAGAGGCCCTAACTAAAATGAACAATTACACTCTGAGAAGGTCAAAACAGCTATATTGATATTCTTGATGTTGCTAGTATTGTGGCCGCCATGCAGCGGAGGATGTTCCTGGATGGCAAGGACAGTGTTCTTGAGATCCGGAATAGAATAGGTCTTCAGCAACCCATTCTTGCCGTAAAAGGTGACTGTGCTTGAGGCAACTAACGGGTTCAGGATCAGGTGGTCAGGCTCGTTGACATGGTTGATGCATGTCATCGTATCCCAATTGTGTGGATCGATGCTCATGATGTCAATCACTGGTTTGTCTGGTCCAGACTCGATTATTTATAGACCACTGTCGCATAGCTGGAATATTGCTGAGTGCGGTGTTAAACAACAAACAAACAGTGTTCTTGATGTTCAGAGCTCCAGATAAGCTTTTGGTGTTGCGGGTATTTTACCCATGCATTTTAAAATCATTGGGTATCAGTAATTCTATCTGCGTATTCAAATTTCTGTTACCCATTAGTTTTTACACATGTGGGTATTTAAGTTGAATATTTAAAAACACTATTCATCCAGTCCCTGCAAACTGGTGTCGTGTGGGTTTGAGAGCTTTATAGGACTAGAAAATACCACGATACTTCCACACGAAAGTGTGATGGCAAATGATCATGATGTGACTGTCATCGTGGAGTTTGGCAAGGTTGAGGGAATGCCTGTTTATAATTTCAAAATAAGTTGCTGATTTGCTAATCGAATACGCAGGGTTACTTCACAATATTTTGATGATACGCTCAAATATTATTTTTGTACCGTATCTGTAATGTTCGTTGCGTATTTGATATGCTTGGATTATATTTTACTGCGTATTTCTGCATTTCTGATGCGTATTTCACACAGATACGCAGCTTATCTGGAGCTCTGATGTTGGTACTCTACTCCACTCCTCCCACCCTATCTCCCCCTTTACATACTGCCTATCATGGTTGTGTTCGGTGATGCCCAGAGTACAATGTTGACAGGAACATCAAGCGATGTTGGTGTTCCTTATGGTGTGCTCATCCAGTGTGGGGAGATAGTTCAACTGTTGAAGCAGTATTGCCAAACATGCCCACAAGGAGAACAGCCTGTAGCAGCAACCATATTCATCACTGAATACAGTTATTCTTATGTGGTGACATTTCTAGGAATCTTCTTCTGTTAGGATCCTCCATAAAAAAGATCTAGTGTTCCTGTTTGGAGCTTCAAGGCTAAATATGTCCTATCTTCCATGAGTGTCGACAGAAGAGGCTAAAAGTAGGCATCTTGTGGCCTAGTGCCTGAAATATGTACCAACAGTATCTCCATCTTTGAGCACAGTGAAGAGCCACTCTAACTTCCATAGTGTGTCTTAGACAAAGCTCAGGGGGTGTAAATAGGAGAAATATTAATGGGTCTTGGGGCAAGAACACTGTCAAATATACTTGTCCAAATAGGATGGCAACTTGTCTGGAATAACTTGGACACAATATCTCAACACCACTGTTTTGCTGTGTGAGGTTGAACTGTGATATTCCTGGGTTTGTACTGAAGGACATGTGCTACTCAAAAGAAGTTAGGACCTGTGAATGTCCGGGCTAGAATTGATCTTCAGCAACCCATGCTTGTCATGAGGGGACTTCATGGGATCTGGTGGTCAGGCTTGATGACATGGTTGATGCATGTCATGAAATTATTATGGTTCTGTTCTGATGTTGAAAACCTCCCGAATGGTGTGCTAGTTTTCTTGGGGTTTACTGCTGGTGTCACAAGAGACATTACGATTTTATTTACAAGAACAACAAACAATTTCTTAACTATAGCTGTGGATGCTGCAGAGTCGGTTCAACCCTCTGGGCCCAGTGTGAGAGGTCTGCTTGGTTTGAGCGCCATGCAAACTTCTTCTGCCTAACATCTTGCTTCTCTGTGTATTTAACTAAAATTTAGAACAATAAAAAGGATTATGATTGGTTGTTGATACACAATGGGGTGTGCCCTACAGTTAATGAATAGCTGGACAGAGGGGAATACTTAATCCTGATGGACTGGCACTCATCTTGTTGACATATTTACTGGGTGCTTGGAAAGAGATTATGGTATCACAATAGACGGTACCCAATAGACAGGCTTGTATGGGGCTAATCCTTAATTAGTCTAAAATTGAAGTATTTGCTCAATGCGATTCTAATATAGGTGATGACAGATTTACTTAAATAAGATAGTTCAAGGCAATCTATAAAATAAGATAGTTCAAGGCAATCTATAAAAGTATGTTGACATAACTTTTATCTTATTGTCTGGGAGATGGGTTCTCGTAACCTTAGGCTAGTATCTATCTAAAAAGCTCTTACTGAAGCTACTAATATTTTGTATCTGCATTTTTCCTGGATCCTAATATGTATTACTTGCTGTTCTATGATTTATATGAAATTTTGTATAAATGTTACACCATGATAACTTGATAAACATGATAAAAGCACTTGCTGTGGATGTAATTATTATGTGAAAAGGTAGTATAAAAGTTATGTCATGATAATTTCCCAAATATCTTGATCGATTCTCTGTCATTCACAAGATTGTTTTGTCCAGACTTGATTATTTACGAACATCCGTCATATAGCTGGAATATTGCTGTGTGGGTTTAAACAACAAACAAAAGAAGTAAATAACACCTGTTTTTGTTTTTTTTCATATGACTATTGTTAATCTGTCATGAAAGAATTGTGGTGTTCTTTAACTTGTTTTGAGTAGTATATTTGGACCAAGAAGAGGGTGGTCATGCACCATGTTTGACGTATCCTCGACATTTTCACATTGTACATTTGGATGTGATCGTAAGTGTAAATAAATTGCAAAGCTAAGTAACTTGGTGACATGTTCTCCATGAAGATGACATGACAACTAACAGAAAGTACTTGACAAGTTATTTGCATTCATCTGCCGTTGGATCTCAATGTGTGTCCAATAATGCACTCCTCCTTTACAAGAAGCCATAGCCTTGCTTGAAGACTGTCTTGACTTTTTCATCACAAATGCTTTTTCCTAATAAATTGAGAACCTTGAATGTCAATGAATTATTCATGCATGTAGTCACACTCATTGGTAATCCCTACCTGACAACCAGTCTGTGTTTTAACATCCAACCAAACTTGTGGAGGAAATGAACTTACAAATTGTTGTGTATCAGGTCCAGGTAATTATGTTTCAAAGGTTGTTTTCAATTTCTGGAGGATTTTTAACTCTTCGTGGACATCAAGACTGCATAATTGTACTTGCCTGTCAGTATTGCTCAGTAGGTCGAGAGTGTTTAACTTGACGTCGTCAATAGCTGTAGTTAATATTGCAAAGACATTATGGATTGAATTCCCTCCCTCTCCTTTTCTAACTCACTCCTTTTCTCCAACACCCCCTCCCCCTCACTCCCACTCCTTCTCCTACTCCCTCACCCCTCCCTCTCCTCCTCACTCTTCCCATCCCTCTCTCCCACCTTCACTCCCACTCCTTCTCTAACTCCCTCCTCTCGCCCTCCCTCTCCCCCTCACTCCTTCTACTCCCTCACCCCTCCCTCTCCCCTACCTTCTACCCCACACTCTTTCTCTCCCTCCCTCTCTCCCTCCCACTCTTGCCTTCCCTTTTCTCACTCTTCTCTTCCCCTCCTTCACTCAT